CTAAGGTGCTCCTTTCTACAGACGCATCCCAGAATTTCAGGGAGCCCCTTCAGCTGGCAAGAGGCTCAGCTGTTGTTCCAGAGTCTGACATGCCCTTGAAGTTCTCTTGTTTGCTCCTCAGTGTCCCCTCCACACGGGCTCCAGCACAGATCTCTGAATCAACTGCTTAGAGCTCTGAACCAAATACCCAAGTTAGCACTGTTAAGATAGAGTGGATTATCAAAGAACTGACTAAAATTCTGGGGGGAACAGCAAGGAAACAAACAACGTGAGGTAACAAATGTACAAAACAGACAAGATGACAGAAGTCTTCAGCTGGATTGCTTCAAGGCCTGTGGGCTAGGCTACCTCATGAGCTATCTTAAAATTCCTGCATTCTCATGCTGAAGATGTGGGAAAAGATTTTAACAATCCAGTCTGGATTCCTGGCTTTCTATGAGTCTGACCACACATGGAGGACATGGTTTAAAAAATTAATTAAAAAATTTAAATATAGAAAACAAAATTGATCTATAGGTACTGATGGATAGAAAATGTCTTCAAAATGTACATCTGACAAAGGATTTGCAGCCAGCATATATATATATGTATATATGTAAATGTAAGTACATATATGCATATACATACAGAACTCTTACAACTCAGTAATCAGACAACCCAACTTTTTAAAAGAAGCAAAAGATTTCAACAGATACTTCACACACACACGCAAATAATTGCGAATAGCCATGGAAAGATTTTTAGCTTTTAGTTATCAGGGAAATACAAATTAAAACCTAAATGAGATGTACTACCCACCTACCAGAATGATTAACACTCACAAAGACTGACACCACCAAATATCGGCAAGCAGGGTGTGCATCCAGAACTCTCCCACACTGTTGGCAGGAATATAACATGGCATGATCACTTCAAGAAAAGGTATGATGATTCCTTTTTCTTCTTTTTGATAGGGTGTCCCTGTGCCGCCCAGGCTGAAGTGCAATGGTGTGATTTCAGCTCACCACAATCTCTGCCTCCCAGGTTCAAGAGATCCTCCCACCTCAGCCTCCTGAGTAGCTGGAATTACAGGCATGCGTCACCACGTCCAACTAATTTCTTGTATTTTTAGTAGAGACAGGATTTTACTATGTTGACCAGGTTGGTCTCGAACTCCTGACCTCAGGTGATCAGCCCACTCCGGCCTCCCAAAGTACTAGGATTACATGCATAAGCCACCACACCTGGCCAAATACTAAATATACGCCAAACTTATGACTCAGAGATTCCACCCCTAGGTATGTTTGCAAGAGAAATAAAAACAAAGGTACATACAAAAAGACTTGTACAAGAATATTCACAACTGCTTTGCCTACAATAGCCCCAAACTGGAAACAACACAGGTGTCTATTAACAGAACAGACAAACTGTGGCATATTTATGGGATGGAATACTATCTCATAAAAAAGAATTACTAGAAAATTACTATATCAATTTCTGGAAAAGTTAAACACAGGGTTACCATGTAATTCAGCAATTCCTTGCCTAGGAATATGCCCAAGAGAACTGGAACACGTATGCAGAAAACCTTGTACATGAATGTTCATAGCAGCATTATTCATAAGAGCCCCAAAGTGGAGACAATCCAAATGCCCAGCAGCTGATGAATGAATAAACTCTATGTTTAACTTTTCAAGGAACTCCAACAAAAATAATTACTCTCAGCCATTCTGGGAGTTGGCTAACACCTCCCAGCACCTTGGGAGGCTGAGGTGGATGGATCACTTGAGCCCAGGAGTTCAAGACCAGCCTGGGCAACATGGCAAGACAAAAAAAATACAAAAATAGCCAGGCATGGTGGTGCACACCTGCAGTCCCAGCTACTCTGGAGGCTGAGGCAGGAAGATAACTTGAGCCCGGGAAACTGAGGCTGCAGTGAGCTGAGATCATGCCACTGCACTCCAGCCTAGACAACAGAGCAAAACCCTGTATCAAAAAAAAAATATATGCTGGACAGAAACAGCTAGATGCAAAAACGTAATGAAAATCTGTGTTTGCCTGGGGCAGGTTGGGAGGGGCGGTGGCAATGAACTTCAAAATGCACAAGGGAAGTATATGGGATACAGAAATGTTCTACATATATATATTTTATTTTATTTTATTTTGAGACAGAGTTTTGCTCTTGTTGCCCAGGCTGGAGTGCCCAGGCTCACTGCAGCCTCCACCTCCCAGGTTCAAGCAATTCTCCTGCCTCAGCCTCCCAAGCAGCTGGGATTACAGGCTCTCACTACCATGCCAGGCTAATTTGTGTATTTTTAGTAGAGACAGGTTTCACCATGTTGGCCAGGCTGATCTCAAACTCCTTACCTCAGGTATCCACCTGCCTCAGCCTCCCAAAGCACTGAGATTACCCCCAAGCCTGGCCTGACCTACATTTTGATTGCACTGTTGGTTATACAGGTATCCACATTTCTCAAAATACATTGAAATGTGAACTTAAAATGGATGAATTTTATTGTATGTAAATTATACATTAATAAAGTTGATTTTTAAAAGTAATTCATGGGAATAAAAAAATTTAATAAAACAGGGTCATAAAATTAAAATGTTCCTTCTCTACACAACCTCCTCAAAGATAACACGAGCTGATACCAGGTAAGTTCAATGCCTAATAGTCTCTGTATTCCACCTAGTCATTCCTCCCATCGTTGTATTTTTAAAAGAAACATTTAATATTCTAAAAATAGGAAAAATAGAAAACCACTATTCAGGCCAGGTGCAGTGGTTCACACCTGTAATCCCAGCACTTTGGGAGGCTGAGGTGGGTGGATCACCTGAGGTCAGGAGTTCAAGACTAGCCTGGACAACATCTCGAAACCTCATCTCTACTAAAAATATAAAAATTAGCTGGGCATGGTGTGAGCGTCTGTAATCCTAGCTACTCATGAGGCTGAGGCATGAGAATTGCTTGAACCGAGGAGGCAGAGGTTGTGGTGAGCCGAGATTGCGCCACTGCACTCCAGCCTGGGCAACTGAATGACATTCTGTCTCACAAAATAAAAATAGAAAAGAAAACTGCTTTTCCCCCTTGGACTGGTAAACTCTGTCAGGCGTCTAGACTACGCTGGGGACTGGTAATGGGAACCACCGGTGGAGCCAGAGCTGAACACATTACAGTGAGCACAGCACCCATATATGGGAACTACACACTTAAAATGGCTGCTTGCCCATTTTACAGATGAGGGAACTGAAGCTCAGAGACGTGAAGGCAGTTGCCAAGGACTGAAACCCAGTATCCTGACTCCAAAGGCCAAGTGTTCATCTACCATACCCCGGCACCTATCACGAGAATTAAACTAGTTGTGATATAGCTGGCCTAGAGTTAGAACCTGAACAATGCCATTTTATAAAAGACAAAACTGTTTTTAAAATAAGTTATAAAGGCTGACTGCGGGCCTTGGCTTCTGTAAATAAAACTGCTAGTTTACCAAAGAGGTAAATCTGCTTACCTTCTCTTATCAGTAACTGCCAGAGTTGCTAGCCGGTAATAACCAGAATAAGCAGCCCGAGTTAATTCCATCCTGGCTCCTGCGACTCGTAATAAGTAACTAAAGATCTGTGGATTCTAATACTGCCCAGACCATGTATAAACTAATGTTTATCTTGACTTCTGTAAACCACTTAGGTAACAATCGGAATGACAAAAGTCCCCTGGCCCTTGGAATGTTCGGAGCCCCCCTCACCCTCGTCTCAGCCCAGGAGGTGATTTACAGTCCTCGAAATGTCTGAAGCCTTTCATCACCATCCCCGCTCCTCACCCCCACTCCCAAGGTGGTTTTACGGGTATAAAAAGGTCTTGTCACCCTTCTTTCTCTGCCACGGGTTGGAGAGACGTGAGTCGTCTGTGGTCGCCGGCAATAAACCCTGCAATTTGTCATACTTTTGTCTTGGTGTTGACTTTCTGTGCTCGGTCCAGTACAACATAGTGGCTTTGGGGAAGAAGGAAAGTGTCCCCAACCTAGCTTCCGTTGACTGCCCTCTTTCAACTGCTCCTCCCACCACTCTCCCTCCACACACGTATTTAATGCAGCTTCTAACCTGTACTGTTATCATTACAATGATCTTCTCTTCAGGGAAATTCTTAGAATGCTCTGATTTAAAAAGTTGATAAATTCTGTCCTTTTGCAGTCATAGTGTTGTATAGTTCTTTATTTAGAATTGTGGGTATTTATCTATTATAGAAGAACTGCTGTATACACCTTTAAGTCATGAGGCAATATTCCAAATTAGAATACTCCAGAAGCTCAGAGTTCCCCCAAATCAATCTTATCACAGCATCACAATGTTGGCAAGGTCCCCAGAAGTCTTCTCTGGAGAATGCTAGCACCCTGTAGCCCAGCAGCTCAGCAGTGTGGACTTCCTGTCTCTGACTTCAGGCCATGTTTGATGACTTGCAGATTCCCAAAAGGCCTCACCCTTGATATTAAGCTGAAGAGCACAGACAAGGTCTTCTTGAATCTATAGTCTTATATCTTCTGCTTTAAATAATTACCTGTGTGTGTGTGTGTGTGTGTTGGGGGGGTGGGTGCCTACGCCCTTTGAATTGCCATCAGGTGACCTGGGGACCAGGGAAGGTTGAGCTGAACATGGGTGTCTGCCTGACATATCCCTTTCACAGATGTCCACTTCTCAATACTTCTATGTCTATATTGGAAAGCCTGGCAAAAATGGCTCTACCATTACCTTGCTGTGTGGCCTTGAGCAAGATACTCCACTATTCTGGGCCTCAGTTTCCTCTACAGAAACAGAATAGGGCAATTAGACTAAGGGTGAATGGGAAAAGAGGAGCAGCTGGGAAGGAATCTCTGTTACCCTCTTTTTCCAGTTTGCTTTCTCCAGTGGTCAGATAGATTTCTAGCCCCTTACTCCTACTCAGGAGACTCACAGAAGGATGTTCAGGGATTTTTGTGTTTTCCATTCTTTTTTTTTTTGAGATGAAGTTTCACTCTTGTTGCCCAGGCTGGAGTGCAAGGGCATGATCTCGGCTCACCACAACCTCTGCCTCCTGGGTTCAAGCGATTCTCCTGCCTCAGCCTCCTGAGTAGCTAGGAGTACAGGCATGCACTACTATGCCTGGTTAATTTTGTATTTTTAGTAGAGATAGGGTTTCTCCATGTTGGTGAGGCTGGTCTTGAAATCCCAACCTCAGGTGATCCACCTGCCTCAGCCTCCCACGTGCTGGGATTACAGGTATGAGCCACTGAGCCTGGCCCTTCCATTCTTATTTCTAAGTCCTTGAAGGGCCAAAATTTGGGGACCCTGTACTAGGTACATTATTCTCCATTCTCCACCCTCCTCTGTCCTGCCTTTTGTCTTGGAAGCCAGTTTCTATGGACTATATTATTGGGGTATGTTCACCCTCTGGCTTTGATTGGGTTTGGCCAATGGGAGGCAATGGCAAGAAACTGGAGGACTGGAGGAGAAACAAGTGGAAGTCACACTCTCCCTGTGCCTCCCTGTGTTTCCAGCAATGGTGGGATCACGTGGTTGCGACCCTGGTTGGGCAGCCCCTCTCCCTCACCTCCTGCTGTCACTGGTTTTCATCAAAAAGTTCTCTCCCTTTCTCTGCTTCGGTCCAGTTGTGCTAAAAAGGCTTTCTGCTGTTGCCAGTCCCTAGATTAGTTCCCTTTGCCCTGCACACAACCCTGTGAATAGTCCTTTCAGTAAACCATTTTAAGTAGATCCTTGAAATGTGCCTTCTCTTTCCTGCCATACCTGATACAGACTCTATTTCTCTTCCAACTTTCAGAATTAGGGTTCTAACTGCTTCCAGCTATGGAAAGGTTCATCTGGAAGACCTAGAGTTTTGAAGGGACAAAGCCAGGGTCTCTCTTCTGTTGCTGGGCACCTGCCTCCAGCTGCATACACCTTCTCTGATCCCTGGTATGAATGAGTGAGGGGAAAGTCATCTAATGTTACCAGGTGATGTATGTTACCAAACACTTTTCTGTTGCTCACTATAATTATGTGTATTTGTGTATAAGCTGCGTTCCTCTCACAATCTATTTCATTTTTGGGTGGCAGACTTCCAAATTCCCTCTTTTTTTCATGCATAACACATGAATGATTCACAAGTGGGAAAGTCAACAGAACCCCTTCCACTTCAGTCCCATCTATAAAAATCGTTTATCAACCTCATCTTCAGGTTGAGAGTTGCTATAATATCAACCTCATATTGAGGGTTGGTGTGGGGACTAAATGAGTACAGTCTGTAAATGTTTAGAGCAGCAGGTGCAAAGTGCTAGCTCCTACTATGATGATTTGCTCATCTGATTCATCTCGGCCCCCTTTCCTACAACTTACATGTCGAAAGGGGGAACAGGGAACTTGGGTAGGAATTTCTAAGTGTCCCCTCCAGCCTCCAGGGCTTTCCTCAGCACCCGTTCCTCTCAACACCCATTCCTGAGTAAATTTTCTTTTCTGTAACCTTTTCATCCCAGAAGTTCCAGGAAGGGCAAATTGTGATTTCTGTTCTTGATTCTAAATCAGTGATTGTCAAATGGAGGCCTAGGGTCCCCATTGACCATAGAAAGTGAGTTTTACTCTAGGTTATATTTTTGTTCTTGCTCTTATCTGTTTAAGTTTCCTTTCAAGATTCTGTGTGAACAAAGGCTTCCAAGACTTTAAAAAGTTGAAAATCCCTCTTCAGATGAGATACAGAAACACAAGACTTTAAAACTCAGTCCTAAACCTCTTTGGCCCCACTGGCAAGAAACTTTTCCCTACTCCATTCAAATAGTTTGCATTTCCATTTCTGATGCTCTGAAACTGATATGCAAACAAGCAGATCTTTGTGTATTTATCCGGGGTGACTTTCTCAGGCACTCAGTATGTTCAGTAGACATTGTTTCCTTAATTTCTAGGCCCACGCAATGAGAACTACAACACTGTTTAACAACAGAGACATTTGAAGGTACCAAACTTTACTGGAACCTGAGCTAGCCGCTGGAGTACTTCCAACCCATGGAATCCAGGGTTACTAGAGGACCAGCCATTCTGGTCCCAGAAGCTGATAGTAGTGAGAAGAGTTGGAGAGCAGAAGCTGTACAGAGACTGAGTCCCAGGGGAGTACCCAGCAACTGGAATTGGCTGTGTCGTGGGGGAGGAGAGTTAGCAAGGTACTGACACCCCAATTGGTTAACACATAATTTCTTTATGCAGTTTAAGACATGGGGCAGAGGGAATATGAACACATGAGAGGAGTAAAAACTCCAACCTCTGGACCTCTTCCTGGAATGCTCCTAACCCAGATTGCTACAAGCCTTCCTCCCATACTTCATTTAGGTCTTTGGCTCAAAGTTACCTCTTTAAAACTGCCTTAAGACAGCGGCAAGAGGTGACCCAATCTAGGGCTCTGAGCACCTGATCCTCTTCCATCAATGTTCTTTTCCACAGAGCAAGAAGCCCAGTGGGATGTACCCAAAGTTCTTGCCCCTCTCCCCTTTTTAGAGCACACTGTGAGTACCTGGGACCCTAGAACCTACTGCTCCAATAGCAACGGGTTACCAGCTACAGCCTGCATCAGCCCTTTCCCAAGGTCTGTCCTCCTGAGGAGCAAGTGGTGGTCAAGGAGAGGCTATTTGTAGGAGGTGTGGACAAAACTCTGATGTGCAGCCAGAGTTGTTATAGGTGTGGGCACAAGGCCACTGAAATATGGGACAGAGCTAAGGTGCCAAGAGAAGGCAGGCTGAGGGCCAAGGACCTGTTCCCCCTCCAAAGCACTGCATTCAAGGGCATATCTCAGAAGGGTCCAAGAATCCTAAACATAAATGTGGCCTTCCAGATTATGATGAAGGTATAGATGTCAAGATAAAAGGAATTTTATATCATGGTTTAATTCGGTTTGTAGTTTTAAAATATAGAGACAGCATAGGTGAGCCCCCATTTGTACTACTCACTCAGTTCTTGCAAGTATTAAGGGTAGACCTGTCCCTGACCATCATGTATAAGGCAGCACCTCCTCTGCCACTCTATTCTTACCCTAGTCTACATTTCTTTGTAACATCGGTCACCATCTCATCTACATTTACTCATGATCATCTTCATCCCCACTGGGATGTTAAGTTCCACATCCCTAGAGTCTATATTGTATTTACTGCCTTATCCTTAGTACCTAAAGAAGTGCCTGGCATGACACCACTCAGTAAAACTGGAATAAATGAATAACAAATCTAGGCTCCAAGCTCTTACAGGTGAAGGGGGCTAACCTGGCAGACACAAAGGAAAGATATCACTTGTGACAACCCTCTGAGGAGCACCTTCTCCCCTTGAAATAACCCACTCAAAACAGTGGAGCTGCAAAGGTGACCAGGGAAAATACATTAACATCTTACTGCCCATGAACACCACGTCAGCAAATCGGGCTGCTTGCAAGAGGGACATGTGAGCGAGCATGGAGAGCTCCGAGTGGGCTCAAGAGTTGGATGTGGGGCATCTGGGCTGTTGGGAACCTCGAATGTTGGAATCGCGCTATCTTATGAGGGTGCCCAGATGTGGGTGCTGAGGAAACCCTGATTCCACGGCAACGCCCCGTCAACCCAGCACAGCCCACAGTGGAGAGAGAGGGCTTCTCATCCATGAGTAGGGCCTCTCAAATGACGTTCCCCTTTAGATGGTCACGGGCCTCAGCAGGGGTGGATGCATCTGATCCTGTGGCGTCTTGGTGGTTACAGACCACACGTCCCTCTTCTCTCCCACCTACTTCGAATTCACAACGTCTCATCACTTTACGGGAGCCCAGGAACTTCCCTGGAACAGCAGAAATCCGGGTCACCTATTCCAACGGACTCCTCTTCCGTTGGATACGGGGGCCGCGAGGGGCTAAACAACCTCCGCGAGGCCCCCGCAGCCACTGCTCAGCGAGTGCCCCACTCCTTTCCTTGGAGATGGAGCTCCAGGGACCAGACCGTACTCCTCGCCTCCTTGCGCCTAGGGCGGAAACCCGGATGGCGCAGCTCTGAGGCCTCGACAGCAAAAGGACGGCTCACCGCCCAGCCAGGGCCGGCCACGGCTACGAGCTCAGCCCCGCCCGCTCCCGGGCCCAGGCGCTGCCGGAGGGGCGCGGTGGGGCGGGGCCTCGGGGCGGGGCCACGTGACTCCTCCTTGCGGCCGGAGGCGGGCGGTGCCGCGGCGCCGGGACCCTACTCATCCGACACTTGCGTGCCGTGGTGAGCGCAGTGCTGAGGATGGAGAGGTGCGGCCGCGGCTCCAGGCCGCCGCCGACGCTGCTGCTGCTGCTGCTACTGCTCGCGGTGCCAGGCGCTGTCGCGGCTCCGCGCTCGGCGCTGTACTCGCCCTCCGACCCACTGACGCTGCTGCAGGCGGACACGGTGCGCGGCGCGGTGCTGGGCTCCCGCAGCGCCTGGGCCGTGGAGTTCTTCGCCTCCTGGTGCGGCCACTGCATCGCCTTTGCTCCGACGTGGAAGGCGTTGGCCGAAGACGTCAAAGGTGAGACGCGGGGAGAACCTGCTCCCCTGTGCCCCGCCTCCCCGACCCCTCCACCTGCGGGTGCACAGCCCCTCCTCCGCCCATCCCACGCCCTCCACCTTCACACTTTTCAGCCCCATTTTGGACTCCCGCTCCCTTGGCCTCTTCCTCTTGGCCCGCGTCCCGCGCTTCTCTCCCCTCTCCGCGGCCTGTGCCCCCAGACCTGCTCTGCTCGCCGCGTTCGTCCTCCGCCAGGTGACTGTCTCCTCCGCCGCGAGAGGTCTCCTTTGTTCCATCCTCCGCAGGCTCTGCTGACACCTTACGGCTTCCTAGTCCAGCCTGGTGCCAGTCCGCTTCCTCTCGCCCAGGGACCCATGTCGCCTTCCTGGGGAGAGAAGGGAACAGACTTTGTGTTTTGGCTCCCCGCCACCTTTCTCCACTCCCTCGACTGGTTGATCCAGGTGGTACCTAGACTCCCTTTCTCATTTTTGCCTTTGATGTGGGTATGGCCCCCTGGCATTTTCCTGTTTCGGTTCTGGCCCTCTCCTGACCTGCCGCCTCCGCCACATCCTTCTCTCTCTTCCCCCGCCCGAACCCTTATGTTTTAACCCCATGCACCCAGAGGCCTTTGGTGCGTGTTTGGCGCTTGCTCCATGTTCCCATTCACTGGTTGGGGCACCAAAACTGTATTTCCCGGATTCCAAGACACCATCAACTATGAGACACACTGTTCATTTTATGACAGCCCAAGGGGTAGAAGGATAGGAAAAACCACCACATGTATAGAGATTTTAAGGTGAACTCTGTTACAGAAATGCTAAAATTTTGAAACACTTAAGGCTTAGAGTCGAGGAAATATGGTAATAATAGTAATTAATGTTTACGGAGCACCTGTCCTTTCAGACACCTTACTTATCATTTCGGTACTGGGCATACATTGTCTCATAGTTTCCTTTCCACAATTTAAAGATTCCTGGGGAGTCACACATCCACCTAACTCAGGTAGTGGGTATTTGGTGGGCAGTAGTGTAGTGACAGTGGTTTGCTCCTGACTTGCTGCCTCTGAATGGAGCTGCTTCCCGATTCTGGTACTAGGGCGTAGGGCATGGGCACAGGCTCCTGCCCTGAAATGGTCATTGAATGCGAACTGTGGGCATCTTTGAAAACAGGACTCTTTCTAGAGAAGGGGGAACTGGAACCATTGTTCCCCTTCTCTGATGTTGGTATTTCTTCATAAACTCAACTCTGTGGTCGAATGGTGCCTTTGTAGATGGCACTTCTCAGACTCACCCTTCCCCTTTTCCTGAGCAGCTTCCAGATTGGGTTCTGAAGTGGCTAGATGGAAGCATGTGTACATCTTTTAGCCATACGGTCCTGGAAAATTAATTTTAAAGGAAACTTAGAAGCTGTTTTGACCTCTAGTTTACACTTGCCCACATGCCTCACTGGTCCCAATACCTGATTATACCTTTCTGAACGTGCTTCCCACCATTTCAACACATTTGGTCAGGGAGGAGTGGTGTCAGCACATCTGCTCAGGGGAGGAGAGCAGGAGAACATGGATTATGGAATTGGAACACCTCGGAGAAGGTAATCTCAGGGGACACTGTGAGCTGAACATCATCAAAATTCCCCCATCTCCTTCCACTTTGAGGCTATAAGAGGTGTTCGTTGGTCGCAGATGGATTTATTTTAAAATTTCTTCCTTCTTGAGAGTGCTAGAAGCAAAGATTAGCTTTCAGCTAACTCACATGTTTGGCCTCTTGCAATGTGGAGTGTTAGTTTTCCTATGAGTTACATATCTAGATACTGACCCAGTCTGCTCCTGGGTGAGGGTTACCACTTCTAAAAGGGATTCCCCAGTGCATGGAGCCTTTCCCTAAAACAGGAAAGTGAAATCAGAATTTAACCCCTGAAAAGGAAATGGAAGCATCAGTCTGTGGGGATGAGCCAGGGTAAATAGGAGGTGCAGGCTTTCGGTGGAAACCGGAGGTCTGCTCTGAGCCATTGGTGTGAGTTAGCTCATGAGCCAGATCGTATAGGAGGAGGGCACTGGCAGAATCTGCTGTCAGCCTGCAAGGAAGAACGTCCTTCACTCCAACTCAAAGGGGTGTTCCTTGGTGAAGCCCTGCTGAGAAGCTAGGGTTGGTCTGGCGTCATCTCTGTGTCCTGAGGTTTCTTTAGAGAGTTTGGTTGTGGGCTTTCACAAGGCTGCTCTCATCCCACCCTGGGCAGTGTGAGTATAGCACATGCTGTCTGCTCAGGATACCTGTATCTTAGGGCAGGAACAGAGACAGAGTGGAGGTCACAGGGAGAGATAAGAATTTTGCAGCCATGCGTAGCTGGCTTCAGGCATTTAATCTGACTGAAGAGGGTTCATTTCTTCAATGGCTAGGGCAGTAGATTCTCTAGGGCAGCTGCCTGGGGCACAGCATGTACTTCTGAGAACCTGGTTCACCCCTTTCTATTCCAGAGCAGCTCCTGTTGTCTCACCATATGTTTGGGAAATTGATTGTATTCATTTTAGACCTTCATTGCTATTTACTGACTAATCAATCCGCAAATATTTGCTGAGTGATAAAGCACTGTTTGTATTGCAGTTGGGGAAATGAGCTGCTCACAGAAGGAAAATTGGCAACTGTTAAGAAGCTGTGTTTGAAAAGGCCAAACGTGTGGTTCAACCATTTCTTGTAGGAATCCAGGGTAAGGGAAAGTCACAGAGGGCTAATCTGATCACCAAAGGCCTTTATGCCAGTAGTTATTTATTACACACTTGCCTTATGCCAGCACATTGCTATGGGCCTTCACAGGCCATTAGTTATGTACAGTCCTTACCTGGGAAAATATCTGATCTATGGATAATGTCTTCCTCTTTTTTTTTTAACATATAAGTAACTTAAGTAACTTGCCAGGTTTACACAGATGCTGGAGGAGGTCATTTACCCCAGATCTTTTTCACTCTCTGGAGCCTGGGCAGGTAGAGAAGTGGGTGGGGCAGGAAGGATACTCCAGGTGGGAAAACAGCATGTGCTGAGCCGTGGAGGTGAGGTTCATAAGGCATGTGTTTGAGTGACAGTGAGCAGTGTTGGTTTTGCCCCCGTCTCTGCCAGGGCATAGGCCACATCTGCTCCTTGTACCTGTGATTCCCGGCACAGAGCCAGGTGCAGAGTAGGAGGAGCCCACTGCACACTCATGGTGGCCAGTGGCCTGAGCCTCACAGGATTCCAGATGACAGTGTGAGTTGTAGAACCTTCTGCTGGTGTTGTGGTTCCCCTTGACTCAGACTAGGGGTGTCAGCCAGACATGAGGGGTAGGGAAGGCATTTTGTCCATTCCATGACATCACTGCCCAGAAGCTGTCAGCAACAAGGAAGATGTGAGGTGGTGACTGTGTAGTGCTGACTAGCTGGACATGGCACAAACTAACTCTGTGTGTCAGGAGAACTCTGAAGACTTTGGTGTAGCGTCCAGAGCTGAGGGTAGGTAGGTTCTAGTCACTAGACCCCCAGGTCTGACTGGCTCTTGGTGGTTTGGGTAAATCTGTGCCTCTGCCTTAATGGAATCCCAGACTCGCTTAACACTCGGAGGCCCTATGTTTCTTGGTAAGAGTTGTTTGCTGTCTGGTACCTGAACGGTTGTCAGAGCTGGAAGGGGTGTTAGAGATCGTTCATCCTGGCCCTCGCTGATCCACGAGGAAGCAGAGATCCAGAGAGGAGACATGTGGCGCTCACAGTGCTAGCCGGTGAAAATCCAAGCAAGGCTTCCTACTCCACCCAGTGCCCCCCCTATACTTGTGCGTGGGGGAGGGGACGCTGCCCTTGACTCCAGACAGAGCCCCCAGTGGGGACTCAGCAGAATCCCCACAACACCCTCACTACAGGGCATCCCCTCACCCATCACTCCAAAATTTACAACTGCCAGCTTCTCTTGCCTCTCCACCCTTCCCCTCTCCATTAGTCCATTCATTCTGTTGTTGGTAGGAAAACTACTCTGTTCAGAGCAATAATTGCACCAGGAAAATGTTTTCTCCCCAGTAGTAGAGCTAGACTGATGCTACTGAATCATTTGGGTGTTAGGCATTTAAGTCATTTGCCACTTCAAAAAGCCTCTGTCACCCAACTCTGCATTACTTTGACAGTAAAGCTTAAATGCAGCTTTGCTTTAACAATGGAGCATTCAGATAAGGATCTTTCCTATTCCGTCTCCTGTTACTTGTCAAAAGACAGAATCATAACACATTCAGAAATCTTAACTGGCTTTTATTTGTGATTCTAGAATTGGGCAATACCACATTCTGCCTTACAGAATGAGTATTCTGATGAGCTGAGAAGAGGAGTTTGGCTTTTTAGACAGAAAAAGCCTGAAGAAAGCAGAAACAGATCAAAAACCAGATTGGTTATTTAAAGGTCGAAGCAGAGGAGACTTCCTTCTGTTGGCTCAAACTTGGCTTGTTGAGATTCGACTGTTAGCTGGGCACGATGGCTCACCCTGGTAATCCCAGCACTTTGGGAGGCCGAGGTGGGTGGATCACGAGGTCAAGAGATCGAGACCATCCTGGTCAACATGGTGAAACCCCGTCTCTACTAAAAATACAAAAATTAGCTGGGCATGGTGGCGCGCGCCTGTAATCCCAGCTACTCGGGAGGCTGAGGCAGGAGAATTGCCTGAACCCAGGAGGCGGAAGTTGTGGTGGGCCGAGATCACGCCATTGCACTCCAGCCTGGGTAACAAGAGCGAAACTCCGTCTCAAGAAAAAAAAAAAAAAAAAAAGATTTGACTGTTATCTCACTCTCTCCTGATTTCCTGGAAGGTCAGATCAACAGCTTAGTTTTGGCTTGGTGGCGTGGAACTCCAGCCTGAGGGACTCCATCTTGGTTTGGTCTCTTGGGTCTTGTGCAGGAGCTCAGTCCCAACCAGTGACCTCCTATAAATATTATTTAACAATTCTCCCCTTCTGGTTAGGCTCTCACCTTGGTACGAATGTTACCAAAACAGGGTATCAGCACTACGCTCAGTCATCATCGTTTTGACCTTAACACATCATTTATAGGTTAAGGGGTCCTCGTTATCATGCATTTCTTGGAGTTTTGATCATTCCAGCTGGAGAGGGGCCATTTAACATTCAGCAGATGGCTGCATATGGACGTTTAAGACTTTTTGAGAGGGTACAGTATTAACAGGGAAACTATCATGACTCTCCAGAGGAATACTGAGTTTAGAATATGCCCCTTAGCCAGGGACCCGCAAACCAAACCAACTGAAATCGAAGAGATCAAAGAATGAGCCAGTTGGGGAATTCACCCTTTTTAACCAAGTACTGTTTGTTCATTTTTTGCAACTGAGTCTCAATACTGTATGTATCTATCCATGTGCAGCAAAAAGTGTCAGCAATTGCACAGATTCCCTGTTCCACTAGTAGGTAGCAGTTCTGTTATCTAGTATCCCATGACTGGGTTAAATGAAAGCAGGGAGTGAGAACACATGGGTCTAAAAGTCTGACTCTATAGAAGGGACCACTGGTACAGTTTGAACAACAGTTGTGTCAGGGATGTTGCTGAAGTTACCCACTGAGTAGACTGAAGGAT